TTTGTTTCTTATAGCGATGGCCCTGCCTCCGACCTAATAGCGATGGCCTCCAACCTAATAGCGATGGCTTGGCTTAGGCTGTCTGGGGACACTGTTTTAGGTGAAACGACTTGGGACTTTTGGTCCACCCCGCGTTGAAGCTTATTGGCATACATCCACAAATAGACATGCAACCCCGGCATGAGGCGACCGTTTCCTTAAGTAGGGTCCCCAACAGAACGCACGGAGGGAGGCTGGCGATTGTCAGGATGGTCATCGGTTTGGTGTTTGGATTGGCGACTCAAATCGAGTGCGACTCAGTTGCTCTGTGCAAATTCTGCCACTTCGTGGACCTCCTCATGGCTACATTGTGTGAGCAAACTTGACCATGGGGTTGACTAGTCGTCCACTAGCTCCGAGAATCCTCAACGAAATGCTTGAACTCTTCAAAAACCGCAGAGTTGCAACATGAGTAGCCTTGATGAGAACCACCTGGCAAGACCTATATAATCAAGGCCTGGAAAAGTGGTCGTCTTTTCGGCCATCCTTTCGGCCGTTTCCACTTCGGTCTTCCGTCCTCGCGTCCTCAGGTCATTTATGAACCCTTCCGCGATGAGCTCTTCACCGCCTGCGCCGGCCGCGGGGCGCTCCTGAACGGCCGGCGGATCCAGGTCTCGGGGGCCAAGGAACTGAAGGAGGCGCCGCGACAGGGCACTCCGGGAGCTGAGAGGTGGGAACACTGAAAAGACGTCCTTTTCAACAGAAGTGGAGGTTCTGGCTTCTCCAGAAAGTTACGGGAACTCTGAGAAACATGGAAAAAAAGGGACCTGGCGCAGATGTAGTCGGAGAGACTAGCAAATGCCGCATCCAATGTTAGCCATGCCCTCTTTGGCGCGCCAACCTATTTACATGTTAGCATGTCAAACCCCTCCCTGAACATCTGTTCAAAGCCCTCACAGGTCGTGGCCTCGCATCAAAACCCTTGCAGGCCGTGGTGGCCTCGGGCTGTGCACCCAATCCCAAGAGTTCGGCGCCTTGCCTCCGCGCCATGACGGCCTTGGCGCCCCAGACTCGGACAGCGAGCGACCGTGGGAAGAGAGTCGATAGGGAGCAGAACGCATGATTTGGAGGCAAACTGCTTGAAGCAATGGATGATGAGTTTGGATTGTGAAGCTGCATGGTTTTCAGTGAAATGCATGGACCTCGCTGGCCGATTTTCATCCCTGCATGTCACCTCATCCAAGAATCCCACCATGTCATACGCCATTGTATTCATCCCGGACCTCCGCCGCAAAGAGCGACGGCCCACGGCGAAAGGACGCTGCGAATCCTGGGTTCGGCGGCCGTGAACTTTGCATGGCTCGCCTGCGGGCGCCTTGACGCCTGGTTCGAGGCCCGTTTCGCCACGGCAAGGCGTTCAGCTCTTCGGGGGCCGACCCAGATGTCTGAAGACCATGTCGGTGGGCCAGGCGGCCACACCTGGCTTTCCATTTGTTTTGCTTCTTTTCTCGGGTTTTCCGCAAGGTGGATCTCAATAGTTGGGACAGTGCTGCTGGCGCGCTGTTGGTTCAGGAGGCTGGCACTGACCACATGCATCATGTGCAGCACGCCCAACACTGCTAGCAAATTTTGCATGTCACCAAGCCGTGGCGAATGTGAGGACTGGGACGAAAGAGTTTCGTCCACTGAGATCCCGTCACCAAACAGATGGCGTTGTGCTAATTTGATGTCCACAAGTCACAAGAGAAGAACAAGACCATGACACATTTGCACATTTGATCCTGAACTCTTGGTGAGTTCGAGCACGACTTCTTTCCTGCCCCGCTTGATCCAAACGAGTGCGAGTGCGCTACCATCCCATCCCGCCAGGCTGGTGGGATGGTGACGGATTGCAAGGGTTCGCCTTATCGCCTGAGTACTCGGCCGATCTGTGCGAGCAATGGCTTGCTCCATTTCGACTTGCTTCTTGGAGTAGAGGAGTGGACGAGCGGTGAGATCCGGCGAGACTGAGACCCTTTAAGTGAGACCCAGTTCATGACCGGTCTCACGCCCCAAAATGGTGTGAAAAGACCGGTAACAGCAGTGATGGCCTCCAACCTACTAGCGTGGCACTTGTTACTAATAGCTTCTTGCTACTACTAGTAAGGCACCTGTTACTACTAGCGTGGCACTTGTTACTAATAGCTTCTTAGGAGAAGGAACCAGATGCGGTCAGACAGGAGAAGACCTGAACTTCTCATACCAACTGTTGACGAATCCGTCCTCACTGTGGGCCTTCCTGTCAAACTTGATGCGTTGAGGCTGGAAGTGTTGGCCGAGACGGAAGCAACTGACTTGGATCCCTAGCTGAAGGCCGGTTTGTGAGACTGGACTCGGACTCGCCTCAGAGACATGCTGTTGGCCCAAGAAGCTTGTGTATCACAACAATATAATTATCATAAATAGATAGAATCATACAGTCAATCCATTGTTGCTAATTAGTTGGCAGCCTGGTCTTGCTTCTGTGAGCCCGGTCTTACTTCTCCAACACTTGCAGAACTCCGTCGCAGAACTTGCAGAACTCCAACTGGTCTTTCCGAGGCTCTTCTGTTAGTGTGACTGGGTTTGCTTGCTGCATTGGTAGCGGCAGATGTCTTTGCCACTCTGTCTCCCAGTGTTTTTTCTGTCTCTGTCTCTGTCTCTCCCTCTCTCTCTATCCAACTGCTGTCTCTGCTGGGGTCTATGCGGTCTAAGTGCCTTCATAATGAAACTCTTAGTCTTAACCATGTCACCTCCATTTTTGATGTAGTCAAGCACTTGGGCCAGGCAAGCTGAAGATCGATTGCACTGTGACGGGAAAATTGCTGCCTGAGCTGCTGCAACGGGGGGTGACACAGGAATATGCAGGACTCATGTCAATTACAGCATGGTTTGGACAGGTGTTTGGACCCAGGATGTGGCTTTTGCATGCGTATTCAAGCAGTTGCAATAGCTCTGGACTATGGCTTTTGCATAGCTTCCATCCTTCTTGGAGACCATGATGGGCACACGAGTTCGGTGTCTCGTCGTGACCACGTGTCAGACACCCACGGACCTGGACCGGGTCCTTTGGACACCCTCAACTCGCCAGGTCAATGAAGCTACAGGTATACCCAAACAGTCTGGATGCCTGGAGAGATGATGTGGAGAGATGCTTCTCTACTCGGGCAATGGTGAACAGGATATAAAGTGAGCACTGCCCATTGGTCACGGTTCATGATTTACGCGAATGGTGAAAAGTAAAGGTGTAGCGGTGTAGCCACCAGGTAAATTCACGTGTGGGAAGACCAGAAGCTGGCCAGGGTTATGGATGGCAGAGAACCTGGCAAAAGGAGCACCATGTTGTAAGGTGCTGTGTGGTTTCGGATGGTGACTGGAACTGACAGTGAGAACCGTTGGAACCACCTCACCTTCTCCCACACTTCACCAGCCAGGCTACATTTTCCGTGCAGCGTAGCACTGAGGCTGGGCCTGCGGTTGAAGCTACAAAAGGGTGATGCCCTACTTTGGCCGCTCAGCATGGCACTCCGAGGAAATAGGTTGAATAATTATGAAAGCGAGTACTACGGCCTGTGCAATTGGGACCAAACTCTTCTTTCTTCACTCAGACGTGGATCTCCGAGAGACGGTCTGACCGATCCAAAGCGCATTGCAGATGACTTGGGTTGATGGAGAGGACTTGTGTAGTTGAGAGGACTTGCAGCAAATCGCATCGCGGTCAACAGATGGGCATGAAGGCATCTATTGTAAACAACCCTTCAATAGCTGAGGAGAAGTAGGTTGGAACCGCAGGAGTAATAGCTTGTGAAGAACCTACATAGCCATACCAGTTCTTCTTCTGGTCAAATTATATATATACACTGTATAACCATATATATATACACACATACATACATATACATAATACACATGCTCAAGACACAACTTTTTGAAGATCAGATCACTTCTTCACTTGGCTGGGAATACTTGCGCCGTGTCTCTTGCGCGAGGCCCAATGTGCATTGGCGTGGTGACGATCCCATCGAGGCCCTGGTTGGTCACCGGCATTCACCTCTCTTTGGGAACAGGAATAGGTCACAGATTATGAGATTTTCACACAGTTTGGATGTTTATGGTATTTTCACCTGTGTCCCCTCTCGTTTGGATTGGGAGGGTGATTTTAAGGTATGTTTTTTTTTAGTTGGAATTTTACAATTTTTTCGTGGTTAGGTGGCTTTGGTGGCTTTTGGCTTCTGTGGCTTTTGTGGCTTCTGGCTTCTGTGGCTTTTGTGGCTTCTGGCTTCTGTGGCTTTTGTGGCTTCTTTGTCTACTGAATTCTCTGCTCTTGATGACTTTACTAGTCAAAATCTCGCATTTTGACCCATTACAACGGCTACTTTTGATAACATTTCTGGTAACATCGCTATTTTTTAACGACTTTTGTATTGAAATCTCTCTTTTGATGAGTTTTCCATTGCATTCTTTGCTTTTGATGACTCTTCTAGACAAAATTTCTACTTGTAATGTATTTTCCATTGAGAACCACACAGACCACCAAAAAATACAACAATTCCCAATTAAAGTCCCGACCGTTTGGATTTTCACCCGACTCTGCTCTGCTTGGCCGGTTGGCTTCTTGGCTCGTCAGCGGCGAACCATGTGGCGGTCATTGACTCTTGTCGTGGGGGCTGTTGCCGTCATTGGAGGTGGGGTTCGGTCAAGGTTCGCCATCAATGGTTGGAGTTGGTGAAGCTGCAAGTTTGATGGTTGGAAGGTTTAATTTGATTTTGTTGTGCACAGCCAGGTGTATATTATGAGCCAGCACCCTTTGTGCATCTCCTTTGGACTCTTCAGATTCTGCCATCGTTGGCCTTTCGCTGGAATGACCCAAGCCCAGGGAAGGTGGAGCCCTTCTATTTTCCCAGGTTGGCTTCTGCTGAAGGTTTGAAGCAAGTGCTGGGCTGGCAACCTCTGGCAGATGATGTATTCATTGTGACCTTCCAAAGAGTGGAACTCACTTTCTGATGCAGCTCACAATTCAGCTTCTCTCAAATGGCGAGAGGGAGTTTGAATCCTTGTATCTAGATGGCCTCTTTTGGCAGCTTTGTGGTCCCAAGAATGCACTGACCCATAAGTTGTGCAAGATAGAGGCGACCATCTTGTACCTTGGTCTCGCCATGAGTTCCCCCGTTCGTGTGAGGCAGAGGCCGGCAAAACGGCTCGGCTCGTCAGCTGTTTGAGGCACCATGTGGCGACGATTCCCGAGTTCGATCAACTTGATCCTGTGAAATGCAACGACTCCAAGCTGATGACCATTTGGAACTACAAGGAGCTGTGGCCGAAGGATCGCGGTATCCATGGGACACACCTACCAGTGGACATGATTTTTCGAGATGCGACATCCAATGGCCGCCATGGCCCCCGCTATGTGGTCATGATGAGGAATCCAATGGACGTCCTTGCAACTTGCGCGTGAAGAGTGGAACCTTTTTGGAGAGACATATTATCCCTTGAGCTTTCCCCTTTTTACGTGTGTAACAAAGAAATTGTGAAAGTAACAATAGACACAATCAGAAGGGGAGTTGTGGGAGGGACTTACCATCCGCAGCTCGTTTGGGCCATTTTGGCTCAAGAGCCTGTGGGGTTTGATCCTTTCCGTTCATGGCCCATTTGGTTAGGTGGGGAGAGGCCACCTTCGATCTGGTACCAGGCCCTCAGGTGGGAAACCATCTGGGCATCTGGTCACTCATCACCGGGGTGCTCGTGAGCGTCCTGGTGGTGGGTGTGTGGATCGGGTGGAAAGCTCACTCCATTTGGGCCGCGTGGAAAGTGGTCAACCCACTAGCTCGCTTCCAAGTGGGTGACACACCTTGGGCCATCCTCACCAGGAAGGCCATAAGGTTTGTGTCTCGTCGCCGCCTCGTAAGCCTTGCCTTCTCCAACTACCGCAACTACTCTTTGCGGAACACCGAGCAGGGCACACCTACAACCCTACGAAGGGCAAGGCTCGCGGTGGCAAGCCCAAAAGCATCTGCCAGGAGGCAGATCCAATTCGACCAAGAGCTCACCCCGTTGAGAGAAGGTCCCGTGATCAGCCATGGACCCCACCGACGCAGAGCTCAATAATATGGCCACCCTTCAGCATGTTGCAGACTGGGCTGGCACAACTGGAGAAGTCCACGAACAATTGATGGATGCTCTGGGCAAGCCCTCAAAACTGCGGGACATTGCCTTCATCAACCGGACGGTCTGGGACAAAGTGGTGGCAGGGCTAAAGATCGATACTTCATCTGGCACAACCACCAGTGAAAGAGACCTCACCCCAGTTGAGGCTTCTCGAATTGAGATATTCCGAAGGGTCACCTTACTTCGGCTTGGTGCAAATCCAGATCACGTTGGATCGTCAGCCGCACCGCCAGTAGTGTCCATCGGAGTCTCACCTTTGCCAAGTACTTCAACACCAACCTCTCCCACGAGGAAGCTGAAACTGAGCAGCGTGATCGACCCAACGCTGGATGCTGAGATTATTCAGCTAGAACAGTCAGAGGTGGCGCGCATGTATAGTACATACAAGGCAAAGTTCGGTGACCATCCAAGCCAAGAAGTGGAACCTTCGGCAGACCAACTGTCGGGTATCAATCAAATGTTGCGAAGTGGCGCGCTGCCATATTGCGATTTCAGTGTGTTTGGACCCCACGGACTCCGACAACTGAGAAAAGCAGTGTTCACCTCCTACGTACTGAATGTTGCCACAGGAGAGTGGTCCAAGCGCGAAGCTCCAGGGCCTGACTCGATCTTCAACTGGGAGAAGTCCTTTCGCGCATTCAAGACGGCCTTGCTTCTCCTGGAGGCAGCCGAATCCGAGCGATTGGACGCGTATGCAGATCACATTAAAGAGCTTCATGGGCAGTTTGGCCATGAATGTTGGGGGATCATCTATAGGGCTGACGTGCGTATGAGATCCGAGTTTCAGGACAGGATACGCCGAGCCTTGGATGAAAACCCGAACTATGGCTACACCCGCGCAAGCCCTTGGTCAGCAGTGTTTGCGCAGGCTGTCAAAGAAGGAGACTTTTGGACCAAAGAAGTCGTGACACCAGCAACCCTACTGCTAGCACGGAACAAATCCCTGCCAGCCAGACAGGACGGGGATTCATCCGATTCAGACCGAGGAGGCAGGAAAGTCAGACCAGATCAAAAGCTGGCGCCTTCTCTCTCAACCGGAAGGGGATACAGATCTGTCAGAAGTTCAACCGCAATCAATGCGGCAATGGCAAAGCGCAATCCCGATGCCCGAACAATCGCAGCCATCAATGCAACCTTTGTCTTGGCCCGCATATGGCCACGAAGTGCACAGGAGGCAAGCGACAGAAGAGCTGAGAAGGTGGAAACACCACGCTGACTACGGCTCCCGGGACAGACCCGGCCACACCAGGGACATCGGCAAAAGCGAAGCCAGCTCCTCCGCCTACGCCCACGCCAGAGGGAGACAACTCCAAGAGGAGGCCAGCGTCACCAATTGGCCCCCCACCAAGGCGTGGCAGTGATTCACACCCTAGCGGGAGTCAGCCCGATCGTGAGACCCGCAGGTCGAGAAGCAGGAGAAAATCCCGCCGCAGGAGCCGGTCGAAAACACCGATCAAGAGAAAGATCAGCGACTTTCCACTGTGGATCACTGCAAAGAACATCTCCTCCGCGGGAGACCTTCCCAAAGTGACGAGGTGGCACAAGTACAGGTACGGTTGTACAAACCTGGAACCGGAACTGTGGGCTGACCAACCGAGATGCCTGTTGGTATTCAGCGGCAAGCGCAGACCCGGGGACTTGGCTAGCTACCTCGGAGCAGAAGGATGGATCGTGGTCATCGTTGATAAGGTGGCGCCAGAGCCCACCGATGTGCTGTCAGAGCACAACCTCGACAAGATCCTAGCCGACACGGAAACCGGCATGTACGACGTGGTGGGGTGTGCAAACCCGTGTGAAACACTATCACCGCTCAGGGAATCACCTCCAGGCCCAAGACCGCTGCGATCTTTGGATAAGCCAGATGGGCTGCCAAGCGAAGAGCTGACCGAAAGTGAAAGGATTCAGCTCAAAGAGGCAAACCGCCTCATCGCGTTATCAGCAAGGCTCGCGGAAATCCAAGCTACAGCGGGCAGGGCCTTCTGGATCGAGAACCCAGACCACAAAGACAAGCTGGACCTATGGAAGACCACTCCCCTGAAGTTCCTCGTCAGAGAGTTCAACGTATGGATCACCGAATTTGACCAACGCAGGTTTGGAGCAGAAGTTCGGAAGCCCACAAAGCTGACGTCGTTCCACATGAACTTTTGGGGCATCGGAGACCTCAGATGCAACCACCCAGTTCAACGGTGGACGAGAACGGACGGCTCCACCTACAAAGCACCACACGAATCCTTGGTGCAGAGATGGAGAACAAACGACGAGGGGAAGAAGGAGAGAGCCAGCAAAGCGTTGGCAGAGTATCCTCCACAGCTGAACTACGCATTGGCCCAAGCCACAGTGAGTGTCAGCATGTCCAGAGCAACGGCTATGCTCACAGCTCTGAAAGGAGAGCTCGCGCCCCCACGAAGCTGAGGGCACGGCAATTTTTTACGGGCCGCAATTGCTGGATAGAGCTCAGAAGCTCAGAGATATCGAAAACGAGGCAGCAATAGGAGGAATGCGAAACCCAGCTACATCAGCCGCAAAGATCCCAAAATCACTACGTTTTGGAAACGCTATAGGAGAATTACTTCACCTGGCCTCTTCGCACGAATCCGTTCTCAGTCAGGTTGACCACCTCCTAAATGGCGAAGCGGCAAGACCACTGGACTCACGTCTCATTAACCACTTGAGAAGTTCGGTGCTAGAAGTGTTGGGAAACGACATCGAGGGTCTGCCCATTCGGTCGGCCACAGCACGTACCCCACTCAACCCGAGATTTTCTGGGCATGGGGAAAAGCCACGGGGGATCCGGACTCAGTGACTCTCGCCTCTTGGTTACAAACCGGGGCACCGCTGGGTTTCTCGGAACCTATTCCAAACACAGGCATTTTCCCGCCGGTGGAGTCGATGAAGTGGGATCTTGAAGCAGCCAAACTCCTGGCCAGAGAATTTGAAGGTTGGCAAAATCATCCTTCAGCCAACGAATTTGAATCAGACCTCAACCAACTTGTTCGGGACGCGTTGGACAAAGGATTCTGTTCATTATCGGACTCGGTCGAGGAGGCAACGTGTAAGGTGGGGATCGAACCAACCTTCAACAAGCTGGGTGTAATTGTTAAAGAGAGGGCTGGCAAGAGGAAAGCCCGCATCATTTGGGACCTTAGAGAAAGCGGTGTCAACAAATTGTGTTCGCAAGGCGAGAGAATTCTCCTTCCCCGCCTTAGCGATGTTGTAGGAGATGCTCTGGACGTATTCAGAAGAGGAGGAACAGCTTCATTCTTCGCAATTGATGTCCGCGATGCATTCCACAACATTCCCGCGGGAAAAGACAGGGCCTATACCTCTGCCGTGGTGAACATAGATGGCCGCCAACAAATTCTCACATTCGACGTTTTGGTGTTCGGGTCCGTTTCTTCACCAACTTTGTGGGGACGTTTTGCTGCCTGGTTTGGACGAACGCTCGCAGTTGTAAACCCCGAGGTTGCCATGCAGGTTTACGTGGACGATCCCATCATGGTGTTCGATTCACAGAATCCCGCACGCAAAACACTGCTGGGAAAGTCCCTGCTATGGGCTGCAATCACTGGGCTCCCCATCAAACTGGAGAAGACTGATGCTGGAAACGAAGTCAAATGGATTGGTGCCCTCATCAAAGCCTGCCACGACACCAAAGCCATAAAAGTGACCATACCTGCGGATAAAGTTGCGGAGTTAGTTCAGAAGATTGACACAATGTTGGCAAAACCGGTTGTAGGAAGAAAACAGCTACAATCTCTAGCGGGAGCTCTATCCTTCGTTGCAGGCATTGTGCCGCTCATGCGTCCGTTTCTGGGAGCCCTGTGGGCAGTGCTTGCCACAATGAATGACGGTTCTAATTTTAGAACCAGAAATGTTGTGCACACTCGCCGCATAAGGCACGCCCTAGAATGGATCAGAGCCGTGCTGGAGGGAAAACAGACTCCGCTGGTGCGCACTCTTCGGGCGTTCCGTCCGACCTCGGGAGTGATCATCCTTACGGATGCCTCCACGTGGGGATTGGGTGCAGTTATGTTGGAACAAGGTGAACCCAAAGAATTCTTTTCGTGTCCTATCCCACCGGAATTCATCCTCCGAACTGGGGCAATCCCTGGCATCCCGAAACACATGACTCTCTGGGAAGCATTGTGCCTACTTTTAGCCGCTCGGACGTGGCTCACCAAACACCCGATTGGGTCAGTGGTACGTGTCAAGGCGGACAACATTGGCGCCCTCTACCTCATTGCAAAGGGAAAAGCCAGCTCCCCAGAACTGTCGATGGTCGCCAGGGAGATAGCACTGGACCAAGCGAACGAGAAATACGAGTTCACCATACTCCAACACATCAACACCAAGCTGAACAAGACTGCAGACCCTCTCAGTCGACAACATGACCCCAATCCTCCACCTTTTCCTGAGAACCTTCAGGGCGCAACACGCTTCCCATTGAAGTAGGTCCTGAGTTTTGGCTTCTCCCCGAGACCGCTCAAACCCTTCGAAGAGAAAAGCGCAGGAGTCCGTTGTGTGCTTGGTCAAACCCACACACATATAAGCAAAACGGGTCAAACAGCTCCTAAAGCGGATCGTACTCAAGAAATTTAGTGGCGGACGTGATAGGGATGGCTCAAGCATGAAACGCTCTTTGGGCCCCTCACGTTTCCTGTACGATCCAAAGAGGCCAGAAGTCCAGGCTCCACCGAAAGGTTTGCGGCCATTGGACGAAGGCCCGGTGGTTTGTCACGCATCACCAAGCCATGGCACAACCATGCAGGAGGAGAGCCACCGTCTGGAGGCAAAACCTTACTCCAGGGGCTCCCTGAAGTTGGCTATTCATGAAGCAACTCTGCACCCGAACGAGTGCGCAGAGCACATCGGAAAGCGAGCCAAAGCTGAATCATCGCGTTTGCCCATTCAATCGAAAGAGAAAACCTGGGCGGCAATAGCATCGGCAGCTGGATTCTCGACACCGTTCGTGCTCACACCTCAGCTCATCTTCACAGTGACAGGGGCATTAGACAAAGCGGGATATCGCTCGACAGAACAGTATCTGGAAACTGCCCGCCAAGCTCATATCAGCGCAGGACACGCGTGGACACAACAGCTCAACCTAGCGGCAAAACAAGCCAAGCGAGCTTGTCAGCGCGGCCGCGGGCCTGCCAAGCAAGCCCAACCCCTGCCAATGAAGGAACTGGCAGCACTACAGCGCACCGAGCCGGCTGTTGCACCTGGCGGCCCAGCTTTTCCTGTCCGGGCAACATTGCTGGCATCGTGGTGGCTCCTTCGAGAAATCAAAGCAAGCTATGCCAATGTGTCCCACGTCACGGTGGATGACAGCACTGGTCTGACACACTGGAAACTTCCATCTAGCAAAGCAGACTGGAAAGCTCTGGGGGCCGTCAGAACTCACATGTGCACGCGCAGTGAAAAGAGCAAAGACCGCCTATGTCCCTTTCACCTCATGTCTGCCCAAGTTGAACGGTGCAAACGCCACGGTTTTCTTCACCTCCTACCACAACCGGACGGGTATACATCGACCAAAGCCGGCTGGGCCGACACGTTTGAGCATTTGGGCAAACAGCTCAAACTTCCCATCCTCACGGACACAGGCCTTCCTTAGGAGGTTTACCGGTCATTCGGCCAGAGCCACAGGTGCCATACACCTTGCACATACGCACACTGAACTGTGGCGTATACAGCTCTTTGGTCGATGGGGATCGGATTGCTTCCTTCGATACGTCCGAGAAGCACCGCTATCTCAATTGTTTGGCCTCGCACAGGAGGCCACCTTGCAGACTTCCCTGGCAGCTGCAAGAGCCGAACTCGCGGCCATTCTTGCCAAAGTGCCGGATTCTGCAAATCGCACGGCTACAACAGACTTCACCGCGCAAAAGATTGAAGTCTTGGCCGATTGCGAAGCCGCAAACACTTTGGTACCTGACGTACCTGTGCCAGCATGCCCTTTGTTCGTCGTAAACCTTGCTCCGGACGGGAAGGTTCACAAAGTGGGTCGCTCAGGTCCGCACCTGCCCCACTACCTATGGCGAGCTGCATGTTCTTGGCCGTTTGCCAGGCACCACGCCGACTACGATCTCACGGACACACGTCCCACAGATCGCAAGTTGTGCGCTAAATGTTTTAAACTCCCAAAGACAAAGGAGTCAGACGAAGAATCCTCCTCTTCTTCGTCCTCGTCAGAGTCATGCGCTCCGCAAGTTGGATCAGATGGGCAGTGACTCAGTATGAGGAAGCTTGACACCACAGAGTTTGGGAAGCTGAAAGTGTCCCTTA